AAATCTCCAGTGGTTAAAAGACGGAAAATGATGCAATAATCATCAGAGCTTTGGCCTGTTTTTTAAAATCATCTGAAGAATAACTAAGAATTGCGGTCGTAAAAATGCGGTTTCGGCAATTTATTGTATTACATTTCATGTATGATCCATTTTTTAACTGTAACATTTAATTTTTTTAAACGTTTTTCAAATTTTATAGCAAAAAAAATAGTACGCAGAATGATCAAACCATCTATACGTTTAATCTAAACACTGGCTGTTGACACCTATTTATTATTACATCAACCAAATTGTTGTTTTTTTACTATTTAATCATCTAAAACGTGCTAGTACAATAATATCGCTATCAGAGTTTTTCAATCTGAAATTATTTTACAATTTTGAGTTCAGTGGAAAACGTCTTTTATAAATTTATCGAAAATATTATTGAAGTAATAGTATTTTAAAAATTATTTAATTTATTAATAATTATTTATTAATATATGAATTTGACAATTAGAGCAGTGGGGTATGTTTTTATGATCGTTAACTTTGCAGCATGTAATTTTAAAACGTTTTAGTATTATTACTATTTCTAACAATTTTACTACTACTACTACTACTAATAATAATAATAATAAATTATTATTATTCTTTTTAATGCTATTATAACAACTTATAATACTAATGATATTATTATTATACTATAATTTTTATTTTTTATTGACTTTGATTTGGTTCATATTTTCCCTACTCTGATTAATTTCGCTAAGATGTTATTGAAATTTTTAACAAATGAATCGTGAAATTTTGTTTCCTTTTTGCATTCAAAATTCTAAATAAATTTTGCTGAACAGTAGGGTAGATTTGATCACAAAGAACTTTGCACTATCAGATTTTATTGTTATAATTACGCCAGACTATAAATTTACTAATCAGGTCTGTAATAAAATTAAGTTTACAAGTTTCAAGCAAAGAAGATAATTTCAATTATAAGATATTCTGTGCGTCTTTGTTAACATGGATATATATATAAAAGTCCGTGCTTTTGAAGAAATGTTATTGACCTTCGCCAGATTTGTGCAACGAATAGCAAACACTAGAAAACTAGCTGATATTTTTTTGGTGAGATAAATATTTATTGTTCAAAACACTTAATTCTAAAATGGATTCAAATATAATCTGCCACAAAGTTCTTAATAACGACAAGAATGACGATAACACTGTCAACAAAAATGACCAAGAAAATTGTGATAGCGAGACTGAAAGTGAGGTTGAGGAGGTTCTAAGAAGGAGTGAGGTGGTTTTCAGGAAAGAACTGTACGTTTATGAAACCATCAAAAATGATTTGCAACGTTGGATAGACTTAGATGAAAAAAAAACAAAGGAAAGCAGAAAATAGGAGAAAAATCGATGAACAACAATCTCGAACGTCAGCTTTAGCCAAAAAGAACAATAACGTAAAAGAACAAATAAAGTGCAGTGAATGTGATTACGCATGCACATCAAACGCCAGACTTCAAAACCATCTGAAGCGCCACAACAAAGTTAAGCAATTTTCATGCGTCACATGCAAGCTGGCATACAAACTCCAGTTCGGATTGGCGAGGCATCTGGAAACGAACAGGGATCATGTGGCGGGACCAGTCCTGAAAGTTGATGGTTCAAGTTACGAACCTGGCGATGTGAGGGCTGTTTTCCAGGTGTGCAGGAAACGAAAAAAAAGTTATCAGGAAGAACAACCACCGGAAAAAATTGCCAAAACTAATTTCCTGACAGACGGCGGGGATTAGTTTATTTTTTAAGAACATTTTTCTTTTAAAAACATTTTTCTTTATTTATCTTGCTTTTGAATGTTTTTGAATTAATAAATATATCACAAACTTTTAAAACCTATCTATTTTGTTTAGTTCAGTTGTATACATTCATTATATAATTTCTTTATTTGCAAGCATTTACATGTTTGAGCATAAGTTTATAAGTGTAAAAGCTTTAAAGGTGTATGTATGAATATAGGTTTTGCCGTTATTTATGTGTTTTAATTAATCATATTTTAGTATATATATATATATATATATATATATATATATATATATATATATATATATATATATATATATATATATGCATGTGTGATTATGTATGCAGAAACTCGAACATAACGATTATGTTATAACGAATACAAGTACTTATCATTGTTGCATACATGCGTGCATGTATATATGTTTATGTATATGTATTTCTAAACTTTTTGTGTATATAAGAATTTGTATGTTTTGTAGAAATAGAATATGGATATAGAATAGAAATGAATTGTAGAAATGTACGTTATACAAATATATTTGATTAATTGAAAGTAAGCGGTTTTGAATTGATTTAATATAAGACTCAATAGTTTTACAATGACAATAAAGATTGGACGGTATTATAAAGAAATGGAATCTGTCTTTAAGCTAAATATTCAAGATGCTGTTTGGTACAAAATTTCCGTTAGTGTTGGTTTATTGTCACTACGGTCCAATTTTATTATTAGAGCCGTGCCACTTGTTTTTATCGATTTACTTTGCATTAGATCGAATTGGATTCAGTTTTCAAAATTATAGCATTATTACCAATATTATTTATGTACCAACAATAATAATAATTGAATCATTAATAAAAATATTATAGCTAATAATAACAATAACATTATTTATATTCTTGATGTTCTGATTGATTCACATTAGCAAGAATTTCACAAATTTACTACATTATTTACTACAATATTCAGCAATGGAAACTTAATGTATTGTTTTGACTTTGTGCACAAAATTTAAAAAATAAACTTTACAGAACAGAGAGTGTCAAATAATGAGAGCAAAGCAGATATGACTAAAGTGATTATAACAGAAGAACCAGATTTTATTGATTTAATTACGTCATTTTATTAGTTAGGTTTACAAGTTTTAAACAATGAAAAGATTTCGGTTGTAAAGTATTCCATGCGTCTTTGTTAGCATGGCTATATAAGTCAGGCTGTTTGGTGAACTTCAATCAAACGTTATCATCTACTTCGGCCGGATTTGTATTAAGTATAGCAAAATCTAGAAAACTAGCTGATCTTATAGGCGTAAGTATTTTAAGTATTGAGATAAATCATCATCTTCTACACTCACCCTTCTACACAGTAAACTCGATTTTGAAATGGATGCAAATTTAATCTGCCCTGAAGAAGACAGCGGTGTTGAAGTTCATAATAACAACAATGATAACAAAAACACTGGCAACCAAATTGACGAAAATGATAGTGAAACTGAAAGTGAAGTTGAAGAAATTTTAAGAAGAAGTGAGGTGGTTTTTATGAAAGAATTACACGTCTATGAAGGCATCAAAGTTGAATTGCAACGTAAGATCGACTCAGCTGAGGACAAAAAACAAAAGAAAGCGCACAATATACGGAAAGTAAGACAATCTGAAACATCAGCTATGACCACAAGGGAGAATAATGCAAAAGAACAAATAAAGTGCACTGAATGTAATTACACATGCACATCAAACGCCAGACTTCAATACCATCTGAAGTGCCACAACAAAGTGAAACAATTTTCTTGTGTCACATGCAAGCTGGAATACAAACTCCAGTCCGGATTGGCGAGGCATCTGGAAACGAACAGGGATCATGTGGCGGGACCAGTCCTGAAAGTTGATGGTTCAAGTTACGAACCTGGCGATGTGAGGGCTGTTTTCCAGGTGTGCAGGAAACGAAAAAAAAGTTATCAGGAAGAACAACCACCGGAAAAAATTGCCAAAACTGATTACCCGACAAATGGCGGAGAATAATTTATTTTTATGACTTGATTTTATATACTTTGAAAACATTTTTCCTCATTTAACTTTTATTACATTGTTCTTGATTAACGGTTTTGAGTTGATTCAAACGAAAACTCAAATATTTTACTCTGACAATAAAAGATCGAACAGGGTGTAATAAGTTTATTAACATCTATGAAAAATAAAACAAGAAAATGAAAACTGTCTTTAAAACAAATCGTTTGGCATAAAATTACGGTTGGGGTTAGTTCATACAGATCACTACTCCTCAATGCGAAGCAGCATCTATTGGAAATTTTATTTTTAATAATTTGCATTAATAATATTTCTTTCATTTTAACAATTCTAAAAAATGTCTACAAAATAAGTTACTAAGATAATGTTGAATCGTTAGAATATTAATTGTTCACTATTGCAGCCACCAAGGAATGTAATATGTACGACTGAAATTCAAATATAAAAAATTAACAAGAGTGTTGAAAAACTCATTCAGCAAAAAATTCATACAAGGAACATGTATATATGTAATGCGTACATAGTAAGCACATTGTATATAGTGCATAAGTGTAATAAGAATGACTTATTTCGGCATCAGCCAGACTAGCTTGAGTGATTTACAAGCAGAAGCTCAAATACTTATTAATGTTTTTATTGGTTTGTGTGGGCGTTCTATTAAGGCTTTGTTTTTTGACCAGGATTGCGTTTGAGTCCCAGTAAACAATAAATTCTTATAAATTAATACTTCCAAATAAATAAATACATACGCACAGGCGCGTACAAATACACATTTTTACTTTCGGAAACGTGATCGTACATTAAAGTAATTTGCATAAAAATAACTTATATTAATGCTATTGTAGTTATGTAATCTGTGT